GAAGAAGCAAAGAAAAAACAATCAGTTGGTTTCTTTGGTTCATCCTCTTCTGTACCTCCATAAATTATGACACCACAAGACACTCCCTTGTGGAACGAACCAGATCCGACCTTCCCATGTTTTCCGAATTTACCCCCATCATCTCCTTCTAACAACCCTTTTAAAACTTACTCCCCACCATCCTCAGTCAAATCTGAAACCACAGACTCTTTAGAAACCCAATATGAAGAATCAGTCATGAGTGGAGATGAAGCAGAAAAGACTCTCAGATAGTGGGCCACCCAAGAAGTCAATCAGCAGCTCCTCTTCATTACTTTTCGAGAAGCCCATAACTTTGAGTTGAAATTTAGGCTGATACATCTCTTCCCATAGATAGAGGTTTGGAAAACGGAGACCTGCATAAATTCCTCAAGGAATTTCATGTGGTTTGTTCAGGAATGAAGTTGCATGCTGTTACTGAAGATCAGATAAAGTTAAGGGCGTTCCCCTTTTCAGTTCAAGATTCAGCAAGAGAAGGGTTGTATGAGCTCCCATCATGTTCCATCACTACATGAATAGAACTCGCAAAGTTGTTTTGTAGAGAATTACTTTCCAGAAACGCAAGTTTCCAGTCTCAGAAGAGAAATCCTTGGTATCAAATAAGGAAAAAAGAGAAGCTTTACACACTTACTGGGAGAGATTAAAAAAGCTTCTAGTTCGGTGTCCACAACCTAGGATCAGCGATTATCAGCTCTACAATTGTTTCTGTGAAGGTCTGACACCCATGGAGAGGCGTCTGAAAAATGCTTTCAATGGTGGTTCCTTAGGAGATATGACACCAACCGAAATCCGAGAGCTGATCGAAAAGCTGGTGATAGAGTCAAAACATTCCGGAAATGAAGATGAATGGTATCCAGATCAGCCAAGAGGAGTAACAAAAGTAAAAAATGCCCATCTGGAGTCTCAGATTTCAGAACTGACAAAAGATGTTCTGCTTCTGACGAGAGAAAAAGCCACTGCGAAAAAATAATGTGGAATCTGCTTGAAGACGGACCATCCTACTAATATGTGTCCAATTTTGCAAGAGGATATTGCTCCAATCAAAGATGTCGGAGGATACCAACATCAGAAGATTTATAATCAGCCTTCTAACTTTTATCAGAACAATTATTTTCAGCCAAGACAACAATTTCAACATCCTCCGGGTTTTCAACAGCAGCCAAATTACCAACCCAATTTTCAGAATCAGCAACAACAAAATTTTCAGAGTTAGCTTTTTTAGAATCAGTCTTCACATTAACAACCCATAAGTTCTAGTGTGGCATTAGAAGATATAGTGAAGAGTCTTTCCACGAGCACCCAAACATTCCAGAATGAAGCCAGAGCTAGTATCAAGAATCTGGAACAACAAGTGTCTCAACTTGCCACTTTTATGGGTCATCTGGAGAAGTACTTGAAACATAATCCAAAACTATAAAAATACCAATACATAACAAACCGCACAAATATAATAACAGCATGCAATAGGTCCACAACTAACATACTGGATTACCCCTGAGACCACAACATAAGTTTGGCTTGCCATTGGCCTACAACTTATGTCTGGCTTGCTCCCTGGCCTGATCAGTCCTCGGACTGAAAACCACTAAGCCCTCAGTACGAGTCTGGCATGCCCTTACCGGCCCTCAGCTCGTATCTGGAATGCTCATGAGCCCTCAATATGAGTCTGGCATGCCCTCCCTGGCCCTTAGCCTATATCTGGTATTCACCAGGGTTTGTTGGCTACAGCACGGAGCAGTAAAACCTCAACCCAACCCAAACAATATGTCGACATATAACAGATAACATCATATACAGATAAACAGTCAATATCACAGGTAGTCCTACAGATCTACCAACTAGCATATCAAAACTAGCATGCATATCTATTCCATACTCAACATATCAACGATATCAGGTTATCAAACCAATGGGCCGACCTTGGTGCCTTCGACTCGAAAGTATAGTGAGGAAAACTCACCTCACAAGTAGTGCAGAACTGATAAGGTATGACTCTGAATCTCAGCTCCCGAATCAATGCCTACAACCACCATGACCAATTCCATCAAAATCCTGAAATACCCAAAATACCCTCAAAAGTCAAACTTGGTCAACCATGGTCAAAGTCAAGGTTAACGGTCAAGGTCAACAGTCCATGCTGACCCAACTCGTCGAGTGCACCAATAAACTCTCCGAGTTCCTACAGAAATCGGAAGGTCGGGAAAATCCCAGCCAACTCGTCTATTTAGCTTCCAAACTCGCCGAGTTTGCCCGAGCATAACACATTCAGTTGATTCTTCGATTCCAAGGCTCAGATCTAAACTCAAATGTTTTCTAAAAGGATAAAGTTTCCAACTTTATCCTTTGGGGCTACTCCAAGTGCTCAAAAACCCCTTCACAAGGCTTGAAAACTCAAGGGCTTAACCAATAAGCATAAAATCCTTGAGGTCTGGAACCCAACCTTTCCAGAAGAGATCATAGCCTCAAAATAGACCCAAAGGTTGGTGCTTTATAGACATGCATGTCCAATGCATGTCTTGAACCCAAAATGGGTCAAAAAGAGGAAAATACGACCAAAACTCCATGCATGGAATCAAGACTTGGCTAAAGACCAGATCCAAACCACTATAAGATCACTTTGACCTGGAGGTTCATAAAGTTGCAACCTTTATGAGATCCAACCAATGCAACATCCAAGAATAAGGAGAAAAAGGGACAAAACTCAAGATCTAGTTACATAGGGGAATAAAAATTGGATCTTGGACACTTACAAAGGTCCAGAAGATTGTCAAACCGAAGATGAGAGCTTTGCTTGCTAGGTCCTTGCCTCCTTCTTCCAACTTCTCTCATTTTGCTCCAAAAAAAATACCACGCTAGTTCACAAAATGAGAGGGAATGGTGATTAGGGTTCACAAGGGCCGATATAGGGGTTTGGAGGCTGATAAAAGATCAGCCCTAGGGACTTAAGGAAATTATATAGGGTGCAAAACCCTAAAATTTAGGGTTTCTCATCCAGCCACCAACTCGTCGAGTTCCCCCTCACCAACTCAACGTGATAGTTCATGAAAATATGCGGCCCAAAAATCCTCCAACTCGCCGAGTTGAGGCTATCAACTTGCCGAGTTCCAAAGGAAAACTTGCGTTAAGGAATAAATCTCATATCTGGAAATCGGGATGTTACACCAACATACATGGATATATATTGTAACACGTGATATAGTGAGATAACTCACCTTGAAAATTACTCCGACGATTGATAGATATCCCTCTGATGTAACGGGTAACGCGTCTAATAGATATTCACCTAGAATATTATAGCTTATCAGTTCTTATGGAAATCTGATAATGAAAGCTAGATCCATCACTAATCCCAATGAATACCGAGAGTTCTATCAAATAAGGATCATCCAAGCAGGACTGTTGAGAGGCAGGATCATTTCGGCATATAGCTTTTCTGAAATCCAATAACCAAGCCAACATAACCATTCTATACACATCTTCCGTAAGTAGATCAATCAACATTATAACTGGAATTACTGATAAATCCTATTTTTACAATCATAACAACGATTATGAATATAAATATAAGCTACACTTAAAGCATAGTAAGTATAGCCTAACTTACAGAGAGATTCTAGTGAAATCGGAAGATTGCACTGGCAAAACTCCGACTCGAGAGCTTCTATTTCTCCGGCCCTCTGATGTTGCAGGGCCTCACTAAAGTAGTCGGAAACTAGGGAGTAAAGGGACTAAGAGTACGAGAGAGTTCCAGAGGAATTGGATGGAGATTGTGTGAGGAAAAGAATGAAAATCGACTTCTATATATAGTTGGGAAAAAAGGCGCGTGTCGCGCACTTGGTCGGGTAGGATGACGTGGCTCTGGCAGTTGTGTGACACGTGGTAGCTTCTAGGTGGTGTGTCAGTGTGCATCGTGCGGTTGGTCTATGCGCGCCAGTTCGCGTGTAATCTAACAGACTCTTCGAAAAATCATATCTTCTCCATATAAGCTCCGTATTCGATGTTCTTTATATCCACGTGTAGCTATCGACAAGATCTACAATTTTCATTTAGACTCTGTCGGCTGATTCTAAATTTATTTTTAAAGCTATATTTTTAACAGACTTAGACTGTTAAAGCCCGTATAAAAATCATAACTCTCTCATATGAATTCCGTTATCGACTGTCTTTATATCGACGGAATCATATAGACGAGATCTTCAACCTTCGTTTAGATTGTTTTTCCTAAAAATCAACCGATTTCTATTTCGGTTTATGTGTTGTACACCGTTGCACTGAAACTTCTGAAAATCATAATTTTCTCATACGAAGTTAAATTTAGGTGTTTTTAATATGTACACTCTCGCTTTTACGACTACTATGACTTTTGTCATGACTATTTATCCTAAATAGTCCTCTATCAAAAAGTCTATAATGTAACTGGTGTTTAAACTGCTAGGCGAAACGAGGTGTTACAATTCGGAAATTAAAAGCAATTTATCTAATTTTTTCTTCTTATTCATTTTTTTAATAGAACATAAAAATTATCCCAAATTAAAAGCAATTTATCTAATTTTTTCTTCATTTTACTTGTTAGACAATATATGACAAAATATAATTAAATCAACTTAATTTTTTGGAAATCAATTTATAATTATTTTCTCTTTTATGTTGTCAATACTCAATACATGTATTTTGTAAAACGGAGTTTTTATAAAATATTAAAATATTTTAGATAAAATAACAATATAGTAAGAACTTAAATGCTTCTATGATACTTGACTAGTCGACTACATACTCCATGTTAAACAATATTGTATCGCATAATGCCCACTTCATTACAAAAAAAAAATTGAATAAAATAAATCACTAATTCACTATATAAAAACACATTTAACTCAATAAATAAATAAATGATCTGCATAAATATTATTCACAAACTATGCTTTATACAAAAAAAAAAAGAAAAAAAAAGTAATATTTAGTTCGATGTGAACTAGACAACACCAGCAACCTATCAAATCCCAGAAAAAATATTGTTTTTTTGCAATTATAATTGTAACATCAAAGCTTTCTAGAAAAATCCTTTTTTGTTTGAATAGCTAACTTCTTTTTTTGTACCTATTCTACCCCTCGGTTTATCATGTCCATGTATCGCTGTAGCGATTCTTGCCTCTGTAACCTCATATCATCGTTAAATTTCTTTATGAACGCTTCAACTCGCCGATTCAACTCATCTTGACTCAACGATCCTTCTTTTCTCAACCTCCCGCCACCCGACAGCAATGAGTTTTTCAACGACGGAATACGGTGGCTCTGGTTGTCGTAATCCGTACTGTCATTGAATGTTTCTGATTTGTTCATCAAATTATTTTCCGCCGCCGCCGATGACGGCCCTTGTTCTCCGGGGAGCGCATCCATAGGTGGCACGTGGTGATGGTGGTTCTCGAAGGTATCGGATTTCCGGAGGTGTCTATTCAGCGGCATGTGACGGCCATCGGTTATCGTCTTCCATGTGCTCTCCAATGTATCATGCTTCCTCGCTTTCGATACTCTTAGCGATTTAACACCTGTATAATAAGACGCTGATACTTATTGTTCTAATGGCATAAGATGATTTTAATAAATAATAATTTTCCGGCACCGGTGAAATTAAAGTAAATTTAGCAGGAACTATTCGATTACGATCACATACCGGTTAACCTGTATAATGAATTATTATTGAAGAATTTTACCTTCGGGATTGATTTTCGCCGTTCTCCGTTGATGAGCAAATCTGGAACTTAAGAGCGGCCTTTCTCTCACCGGCGGAATGAAGTCTGATTGAATTTTCTCCGCCGGTGGGGGCGAGTTTATCATCAACTGCGGTGAATTCCACGATGATTTCGGAATTTCAATTTTCTCTTCAACTTCGGCTGTAACAACATCTGAATCATTCACCAGTACTGTCTCAATCTCTATAATCGGAGGTTCAATCTCATTCTCATATACCACAGAGACTTCCTTCGTCTCCCAATTTTCATCCTCGAACCCGAAAACCACCGGCGGATGCTCCAAAATATCAAATCTCGTCTGAACCGTCAACGATTGAATTTCGGACGGTAGATCTGGCGGCGGAAGAGAGTTCGTTTCATTAACTAACGGGTGAGTTTGAAGCTCGGAGTGGTAGTGATTGTAGTGGTGGTGGAAGCGTGAAGAGGCAGCGATGATTATGATAATGCCATTGATGACAACGTATAGATACGGCGGCCTGAGCCAGGAAAGTACAACAGACCAAATAACAGGTATGTCATACACGGCGAAGTTTAACATCAACGGAATGCATAATTTCATCACCATAGCTACCGATAAAACGCCGGCGGAGGTTAATAGAATCCTTAGAGAGAGTGATGATGTTGAAGAACCCATTTTCAACTTTACCTTTTGAATCAAAAGCTCTGTGAGTCTGTATTGTGAGAAGGAGATTATATAAGAAATCATATGGAAGGCGATCCGAGGTATAAAAATGAGAGAATATTACATCTTGGTACTTTAAGTTTGATGGAAGTATCAATATCTATCCTTAAACGAAATTATGCATTTCACTCAATTATTCTATTTCCAATTTTCCATTCCAAAACAAGACTTATGTAGCTTCCCATCAAACTTTGCATTCTTTTGTAGAGTATGAAAACCCAAATATATAAACTAGATTCGAATAAGAGCATTCGAATTCACATGTAACATTTGTTATTTTTCATTAAAATTAGGACAATAAAAAAAGACAAAATTGCAAAAATGGTCCCCATGGTTTCTTATTTTATGTGGTTATGGTCCAAACGTTTGAAAAGTTGCAGATTTGGTCCTTTTCAACAAGTTTTATTGTGGTTTTGGTCCCTCATCCGTTAAGTTTAACTGATTGGCTGTTAACTTTTTTAAAATGTCAATTTTACCCTCAGGGACCATTTTCGCAGTTTTGGCTTTTACCATACCATAAGGACCATTTTTGCATACATTCTTTTTTATTTTATTGAAGTATTATATATTAATA